CCCGCCCCACCACGCCCTGCTCTTCTGTCCGCCCCGATTTTCGAAAGGGCGCAGCGACCCAGCATGCTCGGCCGGTAAATAATAAGATGCGTAAGAGGATTTTAGACGGCCCGGCCCCGGCGAGCTGATCGGCGGCGAGCGCAGTGGCTGTCTCGTTACAGGCAGGAATACTGTACCGCATGCCAGGCGTGCGGCCGAGCTGCCTACCCGCACGGGGTCTGACGGGGTCCTGGGGAGGGGGAAAGCTGTCTCTGGCCTGGCGCACGAGGCGCACTGAGCAGCGCGCCGCGCGGGGTTGCTGCTGCTGCTACGGAAAGCAGCCCGCGGCAGCACACGATGACCGTCTACTCACTCTTCAGGCTGTTGCCGAGGCGGGTGCAGGGCCCCACGCCCTCCACGCACGAGATGGTCTTCCTGACGAGCATGGGGTCCATGAGGTACGCGTTGATGTTGCCCTTGCCGAAGTTGGCCATGCTCTGGGGCGCGGCGGCCGACGGGGACGCGGCCAGGACGACGACGGCCGCGACGGCGGCGATCGCGACGAGGGACATGGTGGAGGCCGTCATGGTGGAGCGTGGCGGCGGCGTGCACAGAAACTGCAGGGTGCTTCCGCAGCCCGCGACTTTATACCAGCCCTGGGTCCCGTTAGGCCGCCCGCCCCCGCCCCCGCCCCGGGAACCAGCCGGGCCGGGGCTGCCGGGGCTAGCCGGGGCGCCCCGAGTGCTTGTCTCTCTGACTTGTCCCAGGTGTGCCCAGTGCCCAGTACGTGTACACTGTACTGCAGTACCGGACCGGGGGACGCGGACGGCACCAGAGACAGAGCGGGGCGAGGTTCGTCGCTCTGCCCTTGCACAGCTCGCTTGTCTGTACGCCCAGTTCTTCTATATTTTTGAGCATTCGACTTCATCGAGGGCTCTAAGCGCATTGACAATTTGAGGGGTGTGGGGGGTTGAACTCAGTGTTTAATAATAACGGGCAATGTGCCATCCGTTGACCGTTGTCACTTGCCAACTATCGCCAGTCAAGGTCCCACACTACAACTGCTCACATTGGGTGAAAGTAAAAACATGCACATTACTAATTTGCTTGGGACAGTTCACATGGTCCATACAGGAGAATTTACTTTTCACATTCCAAGGTGTAAGACTCTGCAATGTCAGAAAACCAAAATTTAAGAGAATTGCAGTTCAAGAAAGCATTTGAAGAGAGGCAATCAAAATAAGACCCAGTGTTCAAAAAGTGAGTGAAAACAGTATATTTATTGATTTTCTATGAATAAAAACTGCCAAAATCCCAATTATAATCTTAAAATGATAAGGCTTTTTAAAAAGTGCTAAAAGGGATGCCACAAATGCAGCACACAATTGTGAACTAGCATCAATGAACAATCCCATAATAAGAAAACAAAGTGTCATAAATACAGACATGAACAAATTTACAAAGAAATAATATGTTAGAAGACATAGAGGCCAGGTGCTGTCAATCTCTATGATGAAGCCAAATATAATGAAAGCCTTCATACATGTGAATAGTCAGCAAGACCGTTCTGATAGTTTACAGTTAATATACAAAATTTGAATGCTAAATCACAGGTTCATTAAATATTGACTGAGTGACCATGAGTCTCATGTAGTTACTGAGTGCTAGTCAACCTATGGATCAATAATTTGATACCGCTTTGTTGGATGGATTTATGTAGAACACCACTTGATTAACAAGCAACTTTATTAGGGCATGGCTGCAAGAATTATTTAAAATTATACCATTCAACAAGCTTAGACAGAAAAATATCACACTACAATGTCATTTTCTATCTTCACTGAAGAAGGACCAAAATGACTCAAGTTTTGAAATAACTTTTTAAAAAAATAATTGTCTCTCATTGCCTCTACAATTTCTATAATAATATAATAGGATCATTTAAGAGTCACAAGTTAAAATTAAAATCTTTACAAACTATCATCAAACTACATTCAAAAGCGCTGTTCTGTTCCTCAAAAATTTGCTGCAGTTCCAAATTAACAAAAAAAAAAGAAAAAGAAAAAGCATGAGATGCCCAGAACTTAAATATTTCATTAATTGGCAAGAGTAACTATTAGTTCTTCAAATTTTGCAAATACAGACTTTGCCCTCTCTGGAGAAGATCGAACAAATATTGCCACTACCATGAATTTAACAGAAATGGTAGCAATGTTGATCCTGATAAGATAGTAAATCAATAACAGAACTTAGTCATCAACATATATTTATCTATCTATGCTCTCACACACATAACACATACTTATGTTTAGTGGGTAAAAGTAATGTCTATAGAATGGCTAAAATAAATTATCCAGCAAACTTTGCCTAGATTATGGCAGACCAGAATAATACACATTTAAAAAAAAGGTTAACAATTTCACAGGCAAGCCTCAGTTCTGAAGTATAATAGGAAGGATCGGTTATGTGAGAGAGAGCACAGAATTTTAAGAGAACTCAGTTCCAACTGGTGATGTCTTCAGTAATATGTACATGCAACAATGATTGCCCTTGGAAATCTCTCTTGACATCTAGTAGCGCAGCAAATAGTTTTAACCAGTAATGCCCTTCAGCTAATGAATTTGCTGTATTTCACTTAAATAAAATAAAATACTCATCATCGTTTAAGTATCACCAAAACACACTGTACATATTATTCTTAAGGAACAACTTTGCAGATAAACAATTAATATCCTTTAAATCAAAAATAGCATTTTAATCAAGTAAATATTAAAGAAATTATATTAAGCCATTTTATGTTAATAAGGAAATTTAACTAGCAAGTTGCCAAGGGGAAAATTTCACACTTCTTGTCACACCCTTTAAACATTGAAGCTTGCCCAACAAAGAAAATTGATAAAGCATGTCTGTGCAACCGGAAAGCATATGATTTGACCCACCAGGTTCACATACCTACATTTGCAAAATTCAGAATCAACTTAAAATAAATAAATTGATGTTTATGAGGCCCAAGATTGCATTTCCCGAAGAATATCTTCATCGTCCTCGTCTTTTTCTAAAACGGAAAACAAACATGATTAATTAAATAAGATCATTTTGATCACCTTGTCACGAGATCCAAAACTAATCGAATCATGCTACATACTGGATTTTGCTTTCGATGTTGATGCAGGAACCTTGGGCAATTCTGTCTTGGGTGCTTCAGGCAATTCATCAGCTGTTGGTCCAATGTCAAGCAGTTCCTTATCCAATTCTTCTTGTTCTAATTCTTCTAGTTCCCTTTCCAACTCATCCTGAAAATTGTGAGGCAGTGGAGATATTTGTAACATTTGAAGACACAATACTGACGTAATAGAAAAAGAAACAAATACAGCATGGCAATGGCTTTGATAAATTGAACTCACCTCATCAATATCATGACCAAATGCAACTGGGTTGGATATGGCATCAGAAATTTCTCTAGCTACATCTTGCTGTTCGGCAATGTCATCCATCATATCATGAACTTGATCGACATCCCTAAAATAAAACAGTGTATACAAAACCTCCAATTAAACAGCTTCAGTAATAGAAACAAACAAAAAGGAGCCTAAAGCTAACAAATACAAAAAGTCTTACATGTGTTTGTGAGCAGCTTTGAGGGCGTCCGCAGCATCTTTCATTGTTGTGAGAACAGCTGTATTAGTGTTGGCACCCTCTAAAGCTTCTCTCTGCATTTCAATAGTTGATAATGTTCCATCAATCTGCTGCAACTGTTTCTCATACCGCTTCTTCCGCTTGAGTGCTTGAAGTGCCGCTAAAGAACAGAAAGTGACAAAAACCATGGATTACACAAACACAGTCTGTGACATATGACAGTCGTAGCATTGCTTAAGTAAGTGCCAATAAAAAAACACAAGATGAGTGCAGCACACTTCAGATATAGTTTATAACATTTTTCTAAGCTAATTCTACAGTAATGAAGAGATTTTACAAGGTCAAGGTTAGTACGGAGTCACTAACCTCTCTTATTTTTCTGTCCATTTTTCTTAGCAGTGGCGATTTCTTGTTCAATTTTCTTTTCAAGAAAATCTTGCTTCTTGATGAGCATTTCCTCTGTTTCGCGAAGTTTTTGGATAGCTTCTCCTGTTGAGGGGGCTTTGTCTTCTTTCTTGCCCCCAAACACTTTACTTAGGAAACTCATGATGACGTCAAGTAAAACCTTAGTAGAAGTTAAATACGAGACTCTAAACTAGTAGAAATGGAGAAACAATCAGATTACAGTGCAAATTATTCACTGCAGCACACCAGACAACTACTGGCAGCCCAAAGATCAGAGTTGAGTCACACTTGTGCGTTGACACAAAAATCAGTGGCGTATTCCGTTGTTTGGCCTGTAATGTGAATAAGCAGTTAAATAAGTAGTTAAAGTGGTGGGGAGGCGAGGCTATCAAAGTGTATGAGAAGTTTAGATAGTTTTTTAAATCTTTATTCTTACTGCAATTAGAACTCTTTGTAATAAATATTGATATTAATATTTCAAACTAAGTAGGAGGATATGGCACTTCACTGCAAAAAATCGGCATGACAAGTTTGTAACAACTCGTTTGAGGAGAATAACATCATCATATCATATCTAGCAGACGACAACTTGACTTTACCAACCTACAAAGGTAAATCTTCTTGATCTCCTCCTTCAGTCAGATTACAAGTGAAACTTTGTGGTCATAGGATAGGATTAATAAGAAAATATAAAAATATGATACTCCACTCAAGTTACGCTCAAATAAATGCCTCCATAACAAAATATAAATTCAGTTATGGTGAAGTATCCGGAAGCATACAGTCCGCAAGGCAGTGAGTCGGCAGAGTGAATATGAATCGGACGGCATTCTGTTGAGAAATACTTGATGTTTTGCCACAACATTTGTTTTCGTTGTCAATCTGAAAGTCCTAGTTTTGCATGAAAATGGATTGAATTGTGTATGAATCTTTTCATTATTGGACTCATAAGAAGAGACGTTGCCAGTGGAAGTCCAGCCTTCATCAGCAAAACGTCATCACAGTGTGTATTTCTAATATTTTCTCTGTAATAGTGCCGCTAACCTGAAAGTGTTTTGAGGCTTGAAATATGTTACCTCAGATGTGGCGTGCATATGACTTTGTCACGTCATGTCTTTCCGATCTAATTTAAAATTATTTTAATTCTTGCAAGCATTCCTCGCCGTTCATTCATGATCTACACTCATTATCTTTGTTTTGTATTTTTCCAGCTTTTAATTCAAGATGGACATGGACATAGCTTGTCCTCGTTGCAAAACCACAAAATATCGTAACCCATCATTGAAGTTGCTTGTGAATGTTTGCGGCCATGGGTTGTGTGAGAGTTGTGTCGATCTTCTTTTCCTTAAAGGTTTGTTGTCTGTTATTGCCTAAGTCTTTACTTCTTGTCAGCAAGTGGTACTGTTATTGTCCTCTAATTTGTTTAATGCGCAGGATCAGGAAATTGTCCTGAGTGTGGTGTTGCACTCCGTAGAAGCAATTTCCGAGTTCAACTGTTTGAGGATTCTCAAGTTGAAAAGGAGGTTGATATCAGGCGTCGAGTATTAAGAGACTTCAATAAGAAGGAGGAGGATTTTGCAACTCTCAGGGACTACAACGACTACCTAGAGGAAGTAGAAACCATTATTTTTAATTTGGTCAACAACATTGATCAACTAGAAACAAATAAAAAGATTGAAAAGTTCAAAAAAGAGAATCGGGAACTTATTTTGAAAAACAAGGCCAGGGTAAAGATTGTTTATTATATTGTTTTCTTAATTGTCTTGTCCTTGTAATAATTTAAATTGGTGTTAACTCTTTCCATTTTTGTTTTCAGGCTGGAAGAGAGGAAGCTGAGCTGGAGGCTCTTCTTGAGCAAGAGGCTGCAATGGAAGAAGCAAGACGTGCCCAGTTAGCAATGGAAGAAAAGGAAGAGAAACGAAGAAAAATCAGGAACAAGGAAGCCTTGATAGATGAGCTTATGTTTTCTACGGGGAACGCGAGGAATATTGTTCAAACATTTGCTGAAAGTCGAGCTCAGGATGCTGCTTCTCAAGCTGCTCAAGCCAGTTCTGTCCCTGCACCTGCTGTACGAGCCACACAGTTCTCCACTGGAATCCAAATTGGAAGGGGAAGTGGTCATGTTGAGTTTCTTCCAGTTCCAAGAACAGATGATACCCCGCTGTTCCACTATGAACCTCCTCAAAGAATATTTGATGGCCCTGCTCCCCCAACCCTGCTAGATGTTGATCAGAATGGATTCTTAGCTCACATCAGAAGTGCTTCGGAAGAAGAAAGGGCCGGAGGATACAATTCCAACATCAGTTGTCTGAGAGCTCTGGAAGAAGCCATGTCAGGACTGTATTATAGAGCTCACAGGGGAGAAGCTGTATTCTGATAGAAATCTAATGGCCTACTCAATTGTCCTATGCCAACACCACAATCATTAGTTCCAAATTGGTTTACTCCAAACTGTGGGCTCTTGGTTGTGTTGATGGTATACATTATCCTTATTGTGTATATATATTCTCAATATATTGATTTTATTCCCATCTGAAGTTGTATTTTTTGAAGCCCAGTTATGATGCAACTTTGTCATAAGTGTACACTCATCACACTGATACCAAATGCGATTAGGGGCATGTGATTAGTTTTAAACAAATGGTTATTTACTAGTATTAGCGGAGGCAAGTGCTAATGAAAACAAAATTAATTCTGTTGCAAAGTACTTTTATTATGATGGAAGATGTTTCACTTGTGGATCGGCAGTGGAAACAACTAAATATCAACAATAAAGAATGAATTATCACATTCATTAAATACAAAGAAAAAAAAAAGCATACAATGGAAATGTAGAATGTAGACAGCAATAGGTTTGAACAGCAACAATTAACATTCCTGCTAGAATATTCCCATGCTTTAAAACTGAACTGCAGTCTCCACACAAAATGCTACGCCTGGCACTTAGCACAGAAATACATTGCCTATTTTTTTTTACATTTTTTTTGGAATAATGTATACTGTTTTTTTGTACTTTTTATAAAATAAAAATTGTTCCATATTTCACTGGAGTTGCATATTATTGCTGCCATGTGGGATACTGCTGATGGCAGTTGAATACTTTAGATGTTGAGCTAAGCCATGCTGTATGATTGGCTAACCTCAAGCATACACAGCCCATTTCAAGAGATAGACTACATACTCCAGCTAAACAAACACAGTCAGAAGTCTTCATAAAAGTGCAAGTGTGCTTCTTTTGCTGGAGGCCAGCCAGTCGTGGGAATTAAAAATAATTATAAGGAACTTTTTAACATGATATACAATGCTAACAAACAATAGTTAAGAAATACGATTAACAGAAAGTTCACATTATTGAGACTGGTCCAAAGCCATGTTGCAGCTGTCAGCCAAAATGCTGTGGAAGCTGACTATTGAGTCGGTCGTGTCTTGTGTGCTCGGATGCACTACTGCTTAGGCCCCGGACCACCGGTCGGTACCCCTTGGCCTGATTGGCCTCCCCTGAATCCGCCGCCACCGCGTCCTCGCGAGTTTCCTCGTGGGCCACCTCTTGGACCTATAAATACAGCTTGGAATTAGAACCAGTTCTAACAGTGACCTGAACTGAAAAACGCAAATGACTAAACCCACCTCCTCTGTCCATGCCGCCGCGGTTAGGCCTCGGCCGATCCATGCCACCACCTCGTCCACCTCTGTAGCCACCTTGTCCGTCCTTGTTGTAGCCGTTCTGGTAGAAGGTACCACCCTCACCATTGTTGTTGCGATAGTAGCCACCTTGCTGTCGGTCATTCTGGTACGGCCTATCATTGCCACCTCGGCCGCGACCACCGTAACCATTGAAGGTGCCGCGTGGCTTCCCTCTGCCACGCTGATCACGGTCCCCTCTGTCTCTCCGCTGAGTCTGATAGCCACCTAGAGCAACAAAGTCAAACAATAAGACACCAAAATCCACAAAGAACAAAAAAAAATAAAAAATGGAGGGTATTAGTCATAAAGGATAAAATTAATTACCATCATTGTTGTTTGAAGTTTGGGACCACTCATTCTGGTTCTGAGAATTCCAGTCATCATTGTTCTGGTTGTTCCAGTCATCAGTATCATTGGGCCATTTGTTATTGATATTCTGGGGTGGAGTAGACTGTGTAGTCTGCTCTGCTTGTGAAGAGTCAACATGGTTGTCATTCTGCAAAATAAACAAAAGTAGTTACAAAAAGCAGCCCTTCATATTTCAATTTGGGTAACAAAGACAAAAACTTACCACATGCTCATTTCTTGACTGGTCGTAACGGTCTGAATGAGGGCTGTACATTTGCTGTTGGTATGGCATGCCAGGTGGGGGGTTACCTGCATTAGGTGGTGAGACAGGGGGCAGATGAGATTGAGGGATGGGGAGGGCGTTTTGATTAGCAGCACTGAAATTTTCACCAGGAAGAGTGTGAACAGGCTGAATGTGAGGGGGTGGTTGATGTTGAGGGTGGAACATGGGAACAGCAGATGCCGGTGGGGGATTGACTTGGCCAGGGAAATTCTGATTAGTGAAAGTCTGTGTTGGAATTGCAGATGGTGGCATTTGATGTGAAGGTTGGGGTAGTGATGGGTCAGGTGAATCCAGTTCAGACTCCTGTAAGAAAAGAAAATGTTAATAGAAGTCACACGGAAAGCATTATGCACGATAGTGGGGACTTAAAACAGTACCTGCAGGAAGTTGAAGGTTCCACTTGTGACAGAATTGATAACATCATGTGGTCTAAGGGGAACCTGGACTTGTGGTTGCACTGGTATTTGATGCTGAGGAACTGGAAGGGCCGCGTCTGAGTAGACAGCAGCAGGATTGACATTAGTATAGTATAATCCACCATCAGGAGTTGGCTGAGGTGGTTGCTGAATTGGCAGTTCGGACTGAGGTGGTTGTCCTAAGATGTGAGGTTTAAAATGAGATTGACTGAATTCTAGCAGCAAACCACACAGCTATTGCACAAGCAAAATGAAATTCCCAATTTAACACCAGAACTGTGCAAGATTTAAAGCTTGCACCAAATAAGTTGTTTGAAAGAAATAAGAAGTAAATATAAATTGTTCTGGTATTTAACTAAGACATTCATCAAAGACTGATGTTTTACACTTAATAGTACCTTGAGGAGCCTGGAATGTAGGGTTGACCACTTCGGGCACTGGGACGGATTCTTCTACAGGAACCTCAGCTTGCAACTCTTCCACCTGAGCTTCAACCTGGAGAGTAACCAATATCCACTTTTAGCAAACTACTAGATAGCAACTTCGGAATCAAGGCAATCAGCAATGAACTTACAGCTTCCACAGGTGCCTCTGATGCAGGTTCCACAGACGGCTTGTCAAAGTATCCACAGGCATGGACTGAGCTGATCTTCTCCTTCAGAACTGTGTAAGTCACACCAGCAAATTCCTTCGACTTTCCATCGATGGCGCTCAAGTAATGATCTGCAGCTGCTACCAGTTGATCCTGAAAAGAAAAGTTATTAACATAAGACAATTAAAATTA